CAGTTATGGAGAACGGAATAACCCACTTCCGGATTTGCTCGTGTGCCCAGGTCAGCTTCTCTAGTCTTAAAAGGACGCGACAACGCGGGCAGCGGCTCCGCGGGGATGGCATCTTGAAAACTGGCATTCCCCGAATGTGCATGCGTGATCCAGAAGTATCCCACGGTCAGGATGAATGGTCAAAATTGAATACCCAAACCAGAAAGCTGGCTTGGCTTCTCTGTACTCTTCATTTAAAAAAATGTTCTTGTTTGGAAGTTCTGAAATGAGAAGGGGCTGGCGGCCTTGTGTTCAGGGCATCCGCAAGATTCCTCGGAGACCTGGAGGATGGGAGGCTCTGCTGTGGTCCCAAGGCCTTCCTCGCTCCACAGTGGAGAGGGCTGGGAACGAAGCACCGTGGTGCTGGGTTCCAGCTTCAGTGGTGCAACACACACACACACAGATTAAAATGAACAATAGCCCAGCCAAGGGACTGGAGGTGTTTTAGATGAGATGGGGGAGAAAGAACCCCATAGTGATATTACTGAGCTCCTGCATTGAAGATAATCCCTTGAAGGAAACCAAGGGGGTCCTCATGTGTGGTAACCCCACAACTAGGAGATGCCCACTTTGTCCTCTTGTGATGTTTCCTTATGCAGCTTTTACCATGTCACAGCTAGCTAGGCATAGGGGCTTATACCTGAAATCCTAGTTACTTTGGAGGCAGAGATGGGAGGATCGCAGTTTAAAGTCAGCCAAGGCAGTCTCCATCTCACAGTTCATACTGCAATGCCAACTATGCAACAGATGGAGGTAGTTAGGATTGTCAAAGCTGGCATGGGCAAAAAGTGCAAGTCCATATTATGTTTGTTTGTTTTGCCAGTCCTGGGGCTTGAACTCAGGGCCTGGGCACTGTCCCTGAGCTGCTTTTGCTCAAGGCTAGCACTCTACCACTTGAGCCACAGCGCCACTTCCGGCTTTTTCTGTGTATATGGTACTGAGGAATGGAATCCAGGGCTTCATGCATGCTAGGCAAGCACTCCACCTCAGAGCCACCTTCCCAGCCCCAAGACCATGGTATGAAAAAAAAAATAATGAAAGCAAAAAAGGGCAAGAGGCAGATTCAAATGATAGAGTTCTGGCTTTAGCAAACACAAAGCTCTGAGTTCAAATCCCAATACCACCTAAAATAAAATGTTAGAAAAGATGTAACAGCCTTCCCTGACTACCTGTTATGGGACACACACATGAAGTTCCTGTTTACAAGGCACCTCTGTCTCTGGTCACAAACCCAGCCCTTCCTTTTAGGGATTCCCTCCCCCCCCCAGTCTATGGCTGCAGCCATGAGAACAATTTATCCAAGAATAGTCTGAGGTGGGTGCCACCGTACATGGTGTGGGTACCTTGGGTGCTGTGAATCCAAACTGCTCAGGAGGCTGCGGCTGGAGGATCCCAAGTTCAAAGCCAGCTCGGGGAACTCAATGAGGCCCTGATTCCAAATCAAATAACAAAGATGGAGGGCCATGCAAGTCATGGGTAGTGATGGGAGGGAGGGAAGGGGAGAGAACCAGGGATCAGATGACAGCGCACGAAAGGAAATGTACTTATTAGCTGACAAGCATGCGTGTATCACCTCTGAAACAACAATAAATTAGAAAAAAAAAGATGAAGGATTACGATGTAGCTTGGTGGTTTAAAAGCCAAAACATTAAAAAAAAAAAAGAATAGTCAAACACATTTTTTGAGCCCTTGGAAATTTGCAGAAAGTCCAGAAAAAAATGGTTACTTTCATACTGTCCACCAGGCTGTCAGGAAGCAGCCTGCTGCTGCTAGCAGCTCATTCACAGGACAGAGAGATGAGAGGCAGAGATTTGTGTGTGTGTGTGTGTGTGTGTGTGTGTGTAGGATATTAATATATTTATGAGCTCCTAAATCAAGCCATGCCTGAAAAGATATGGACTTAATTACGAAAAGTAATAAATTATTTTTTACCTTATGTAAACTGTATCTTGAAAACTGTTCTTTTCCAGGAGTGATTCTTCCCTCGGAAGAACCAGAGTGGAGCACTGTAGCTCGTCCCTGCAGTGCTTGCAATTAAGTAGAATTTGGAAAGGACAGCTCACCTGAATCAGCCAATAGAATCTTTATCCACAGAAGGTCATAGAAGCATTATTTATAATACCCCCAAAGTGGACACAATCCAAATGTCCACCAGCAAGTGTGTGGATAAACAAAAATGCGGCCTAACCATGCAGTGAAGCATTACTTGGCCATTAAAAGGAATGATGTCTTGGGGCGTGCTACATGGCACTATGATTGAGCCTTGACAATGCTGTGCTCCATGAAAGAAGCCAGGCACAAAAGGCCACAGGTTTTATGATTCCATTTATGCGAGCCGTCCAGAAGATGCAAATCCATAGAAACCCAAAGTAAATCAGTGGTTGCCAGGGCCGGGGGTGGGGTGGATGGGGAGCAGCAGGAGGGAGTGTGGGAGGAGGACGGGCTTTCTTTTTCGAGCAGGGAAAATGCTCAGGGGTTAGATAGTGCTAATGTTGGCACGCCTCTGTGAGTTTGCTAAAAGCCATTGAATTGTACACTTTAAGTGGGTGAAGTGTATGCTTGTGAATTATAGCTCAGTAACACATTAGAAGAAAGGACTGGGGATGAAGCTCAGTGGTAGAGCATTTACTCTGCAGACGCAAGCAACACTGGGGAAAACAAAAGAAGAGGGAAGAGAAGAGTGGAATGGAAGTTTCAAGAATGACTGTCAAATATGGCCAGAACATCTGTTAAAATGTCAGCTACAAAGTCGGGCACCATGGCTCACGCCTGTAATCCTAGTACTCAGGAGGCTGAGATCTGAGGGTCATGGTTCAAAGCCAGACAGGGCAGAAAAGTCCCTATGAGACTCTTATCTCCAATTAACCACTCAAAAACTGGAAGTGGTGCTCTGGCTCAAGTGGTAGAGTGCTAGCTTTGAGCACAAAGTGGGTTAGGGACAGCACCTACGCCCCAGGACCAGCACATCCCTCCCCCCCCAAAAAAAGGGTAAAATGTCTTCCAAGCTTCCCAATTTCACATATGTGCTAATTGCTTTACTTGTATCAATTCACTTAATCTGCACACGAACCCTGTGCAGGAGAAAGCTGAGAGCTACAAAATGGCAGGCCCAGAATTCAAACATAGGCTGCTCAGAGTTCTCCTCACACAGAATAGTATAATCCCTTGTGCAAATCTGATATTGGCTTATTATGTTTGAAGGATTTAATTCTTGCCTCTCCCAGATGGTTGTTAGCATCTAACAACGCAGAAGTTGCAGTTTCTCTCTCAGCATCCTCCCCTGATAGTTCCACAACCATCTGAAAGCAGCCAGCAGTGGGACCAACAGTGGAACAGCCTATTTCCTCTGCCTGAAAGTTTCCCCTTTCTGATGGGAGCTTTCCCTGCTATCATGCCCCCTTCCCCTTGCAGAATAACCTTGGGGCTCTTCATCTGGGTCTTGACATCATTGGGTTCTTTTATTTCTAGTATTTATCTCAGTCCTGGCCCACACTTAATGGCCTCTCTCTGCCCCAGATGGTCAGTTCTATGAAGGAGGCACCAGGTTAAATCTGGCCTCACACTGCATTTCCAGAAGCCAACTCAGTGTAGGGCATAATTTATTATTTTGAGGTTGTAAGTTTGGTGCTGAATCTGTAGCTGGTTTCTCTTCTAAAATGTTGCAGTAGCAGGCAAGCCAGTTTTCAAGCAAGGAGGAATGAACATTTCTTTTCCTCTCTTTTTTCATTACCAACGGCTGTCACAAGTACAGTGGTTGCTAGCAGGGATGGATTCACGATACTACCAGCATCTAAGGCCTCCCCTAAACCAGCCTGTTTCTGAATCTCCTCAGTGACCTGGGCATGAACACCCTTCTGCACACTGCAAGCTGTGAACTCATGAAGAACAGAAGGAAGACAATTATTTCTGCATGTGTCCAAGGAGAGCCTCTTAGAAGCCAAAAGGAACTTTATAAAAGCCAATCCCCCCACCTACCCAGGCTCTTGGCATACTAAAAACAATTACTGAATTAAAAAAAATCAATTCCCAGTACAAGCATCGTGACCCAATAATGTGACACAGAAGCTGAGATCTAGACGGTGAATGTGTCCTTTACTCCTGTCAGACTCCAGTTGCTCCTAGGTTTAACCTACTTTGGAGATGCTTGTGTTGAAAGCCTCAATCTGAAGCCTAGGTCAAAGGCTTCCTCACTTCAAACCCCAGCAGCCTTGCTTAGAGATCCATCACCGGCTACTAGCAGTGCCACCTGTAGTCCTAAACCACTCAGGAGGCTGAGATTAGAGAATTACAGTTAGAGGCCAGCCCAGGCAGAAAAATCCCTGAAATTCCAACTCCTCCCTCCCGCCAGTCCTGCGGCTTAAACTCAGGGCCTGGGCATTGTCCTTGAGCTTATTTTGCTCGAGGCTAACGCTCTACCATTGAGCCACAGTACCCCTTATGGCTTTTTCTGTGTATGTGGTACTGAGGAATCGAACCCAGGGCTTCATGCATTAGCTAGGCATGCACTCTACCCTCCCTGAGACCCTTATTTCCAATTAACCATCCCCCCCCCCAGAAAAAGAAATGGAGCTGTGGTTCAAGCGGCAGGGCACTAGCCTTGAGCACAAAAACTCAGAGATAGTGCCTAGGTCCTGAGTTCAAGCCCAGGACCAGTGCACACATGTAAAAGCCACCATCGTGGATCATGCTTGGATGCTTGGTAAACGAATAAAACTTATGGCATAAGTTGGTCGCATATTGCTGCTGGGCGTTGGAGGTTATCTGCCGGACGTTGAAGTCGGGGTAACAGCCCCAGAGGGTCTCAGCTACGGCCCAGAGCTCGGAACCCCACCTCGCACCCGACCAGGCGCCGGTCAGAGCTCCCCCCGCCCCCGCCGTGAGACCCCCCCAGCGCGCCTGCGCGCCCCTAGCCCCTTCCGCCGGAAGTGACGTATCGCCGCGGCCTAGCAACCGTTGCCAAGGCGCTGTCTGTCTCTAGGAGCCCGCGGGAGCCGGGTGCCTCCGGGTGGGGGGTGGGGAGGTGGTTTCGTGAGGAGAATTTGAGGTAACCTCGCCAACTCGCGGTCGGAAACTTCCCCGAACCCCGAAATAGGACAGGGCTCCCGCCCGCTCCCGGCCCCTCTCACGAGGCGTGGGGGACGCAGCGGCGAAGCCTCTCGGTCGGGGGTCAGGCCCGTGGGCCGCGCGGGCAGCCAGGCCGCTTCCTCCCGCGGATGAACGGACGCGGGGCCCCGGCGGGCCGTGGGGTCCCCTGT